AAAAAAAAATAGTGTCCTGGCAAACCCCTCTGGCTCAAGTTCATATTTACACATGCTAATGAGCTTTGTTTGCCACAAATCTGCTCACAGTTGCTTATGTTAGCATGCTGCTAAGCTAATTAACCATTTCTCAAATAACCAAAAAAATGAAAATAAACAACAGTGTTCAATATTTTATATTAGACCAAATCATTTTTATCAATGCTTTTTGTGTTGTTTTTGTATATCACTGAATGAACATGCTTTACATTCTGAGATTACTTCCTTCATGGTTCCCTTTTAAAGGTGAAATTTTTGAACAACGCTTTTGACCACAGCGTCGGACCGAGTCCCAAAACACACTTGTAGCCAATCAGCAGTAAGGGGGCGTGTCTTGCAATGATAGAGAGAAGAGAGCGCTCAATTTGAGTGCACAGGACGGATATTAGCAGATCGACTATAGACAGAGAGAGATTGCAGACAAAAAAAAAAAAAAGAGGAAAATATCAGAGAAATAAAACATTAAATAGAAGGGTTACGATCAGGCAAGAGGTAGGACCCACACGTTAATATCGGAGCAGTTTTCCAGCGGTGGAGAAAACTCAAGGGCTCGAATCGCATGCTGAGGTTGCGTTGTTTCTTCATGATAGGTGAGTAACGTTGATTTTGCTTCGTTTCACACAACTTATCTGTGTTGGCTTTTGTTTGAATATGCTTGTGTGTCATCTTCACTTGTTTCTGCGATCGTTGTTGCCATGGTTGTGTAGGTACGTGTGGGGCGGAGATTTCAAAATAGGGGCGAGCTCCTGTTGGGGTATGGGCGTGTTTGTTTTGGTGCTTAGTGCACCTTTAAGTACATTGAAATACTGTTAGGTAAGTGTTGGTACACTGAGTTTGTCACAAAAAGGGGTCTTGCATCAGGGTCTACAGCAAGTTTCAAGTGATCTTTCATCCTCTGTCTTTCAAAGAATTTATAAAAACTCTCACGTACCTCAGGCCCCTTAGGGACCTCAATTGCTTATTTCCATACCCGAACACATTAGCATACTGAGCCGATCCGTGTTCCTGACAGTGTAAGGGAATGCTGACATTTGAACTGCCCCTCTCTCAATATTGAGCTTTCAATATGACTATATCAGATCAGGCCATAGAGAGAGAGGGCCGTAATAACCCAATAAATTGCCTCCCTGAGGCACCAGTGTGTTCACAGAATATCAAAACTCCTCTTTCTTATACTCTGCAGACTGTGAAGGAAAAAAGCTCCGTCATAAGTCTAGCTGTGGTAATTAGTGTTTCATGGGAGGTTTATTTAATAAAATCATCACTTGATCTCAACAGACTCTGACATTGCAAACCTATATGTGAAAAACTACTGCGTTAAGCCTCACAAATCATGTTAAGAGTTTTGATAGACAATAAATTTAATATAAAAGCCACATGACAGGTGCTTCAATAAGTCTACCTATTCCTTTACTCTATTTTCCTCCCTTTCATTTTCCATCAATTCACTTTCCCTGCAGAGGGACATCAAAGTGGTTTTGAAAGAAAGAAGAGACCACGGCACCACAGCTGTACTGATACTGGAAACTGTGTGGGGCTTCGACTGAACGCTGGGAAAGCGAGAAAGCCATTGATCTTTATGGATTAATTCTTATCTGCTGGATTTAGACACTGGCATTGATTATAATAACATATACTGGCCACATTATCATTAAGACTTAAACTAGCTTAATCCAGTAGTTACATGATATCACAACTGTTGTTCAATAGATCACCGCCTGTATTTAAAAAGAAAAAAAGCATCCAAAGTATTCAGATCCTAGGTATTACTTGGGTAATTTTAAGTGTACCTTACCTTAAGTGTAAGTCTACGGTATTTTTGTCCAGAGATGAACCAATATAAAAATTCTGGTTTATACGACAAGCCGGTAATTATTTTCAGATAAATTACTGCTATTAAAATTCCTAAAATGTTGTATAAAAAAAGTTAAATAACATACTAAAAACTAAAATTAGCCATTTTAAATGTTAGAAGTGAATTTATGCATTACAACATTATATTATAATGTACAGTATAATGATATTTATTTTGAGATATGATAAAGATTACATTTAACAGTGATATTAAATAATAGGTGCAAATATTAACTTTAAGTGAGTGTTAGATGACAACAAAGGTAAACTAAACATAACAAATGGTGAAATAAGCATTCACATTTCAATAACCAATATTGACCAAAATATACAATATCGATAAAATAAAAACAGAATAGAAATTCTACAAAAATAGAATCTGTAATATTGGCCTATAACCGATATGGTAGAGATATATTGCATGCCTAATTATTCACCCATTTTATCATCCTCCTCCTGGCAAACAAAAATGCAAGTCTGATTGCTTACAAAAATAATAGCACACTCTCTGCAATAAGCTGCATGAGCAAATATGTGGGATGAATTATATCACTAAGTTCAAGTTCAAATGTCTAACCCTAAGTATAAGGTTCTTGCCACAGAAATCACCACTAATAATAACAATTCCTGTGTTTGTATTGAGTTAATTACAGTTACAAACAACCTGTTAAACCAGGGTGACTATATACAGGAAAGAGTATTTGTATGCCAGTAAGCAAAACCCAGTTAAAATGCAGCTCAGCCGTTTTCCTCTTTTCCACCCAAAACGTTTTAAACACAATAAATCTGTTATCCTGACGAACAGACATGCCAACTTTGCTTTCATTTCCCACCTTAACGAAACCCTGAATTCCAAAAACAAGGTCAAAGTGGCCTGCCAGACACACACACAAAGTCTGACAGAGACATACAGAAGCACTGACTGGAAAGAACATCTCTTCTTTAGTTTGACAGGACCTTATAAACACACACACACAATCTCCAGAAGGATGTTTGATGGATGCCAAACTGTGTGGACCTTCTTCAGGTGTCTGGCACTGTTATGAATGGCTTGCTCAGTCTTGTTTCTGGCAAAACATATGTCCAATGGCTCATGATCCAACTGACTGTCTCATAGGACACTTTAAACTATAATTCATACTCGCATCATATCATTACATGTTACGGCAAAGCATGTTGTGTCATTTTCAATTTAAAGGGGTGGTTGATTGCGATTTCACTTTTTAACGTTAGTTAGTGTGTAATGTTGCTGTTTGAGCATAAACAATATCTCTGAAGTTACGACGCTGAATGTTCAATGCAAATGGAGATATCGTCTTTTAAAATTATGGCAGTTTAATGCCTACAAAAACTTTTTTGTTTTGAAGAGTTGAAGAGTTACTTCCCGGGTTAGTGACATCACATACCCTAGATAAAACCAGCCCCCGGGAACATGCAGCAAAGGGGGCGAGGCCATCTGCTTTAGAGAAGAGGAAGAGAAAACTATGGGTGCACATAAAAATCTATTCATATACGAATCGCGATTCTGTCTTCTAACGATTCTAATCACAAGTTTCAAAATCAATGTTCTAAAGATGCGGTTATTAATCCTGTTCCTCACGTCCCCTGCTCTGCAATATTAAAGCTTTAATCAGAATAAAACCGTATATTAAAAGCTAACATAAGCTAACATAACCTCTGCGTCTCAATCGGGCTCAAATTGATAAGGAATATTGACGATGCCATTGTTTACAATACAACACAGCACAGCACATGCCGCTGAAGTGAGGGGCGTGTCGTTTAGACGCACACTGGCGGTTTAGCGAATCACAACACACTAGGGCTGTCAAAAAATATTCGAATTTCGAATATTCGTCGAATTTAAAATAAAAATCCACATTCGAATGCAAAAACGTTGCATTCGAATTTTAGGTGTGCATCAGGCAGCCTTATCAGTGGCATGCAAGAATTGCGCGATGACGATGTAAGTGTCATTGCATTTTAATGTTTTTCTTAGCTTATCCAGTTGAACCCACTAGATGCGGCACTGCTACCTCCATTCAAAATATTGCGGAAAAAGAGAACATCAATGCGGAGAAGGTCTTGTTTACATCAAAACCGAAACCAAGCCATTCACACAGAACACATATTTCATGCATTTTCTAGACGGACATCTATTACTGTTTGCACACGCGTCTCGCACAAAAGAGTTTAGAAAGCCTGTTTTGTTTATCGTTGTTTAAGCAACTTAATTATAATTGGTTTATAAACATTATTTTAAACATTATGCACTTTTTTTCGTGTTATCTTATGCTTTGAATGATGCGCCCTCTTTTGGCCTCGGGAGAGAAGCCAAAAGCTTTTCTTCACCCTAACTGAAATTGTGCATTTTAAATTTGAATATAATTCGAATTTTGATAATATTTAAGTACAAAATTCAAATGTAGTTTTTCAGCCATTTTGACAGCCCTACAACACACTGAGCCAGCGAACCAATCTGAGCCCATTGCGTATTTCTGAGGGAGGGGCTTCATAAAAATAGAAAATTATCAATGCGTTTATAGGAGAAGGGACAGAGCGGTGTAGAATAAAGGTCAATTATGTGAAAAATAATGTGTTTTTTTAAAAACGAAGCATTAACATGTTAGACTGCCCCCCATAAACACAACCAAGCCTAGAAAAAAAAACAGTCAACCACCCCTTTAACGCCACATGAAACCAAAACATAAAACTTTATCACTGACGTCTCCAACCAAACGTTCACCTTGAAACATCCACCATATAGGAAATCAGAGGTAACAGACTCATTTAAAAGTACTAGAACAACATCAACGCTGCATCACTTTGAGACCCAATGACTTGAAACCCAAGAACTCTGTTTACTTCTTTGCGATAGTGGCTCAGATAAACAATTTCCCCGTCGCACCCGTTCACCCTCAGGCCTCGGCGGACATCTGACGTCCTGTATTAATTATAGCTATGCCGAGCTGCCCCACTGTCTTGCGAGAGATGCGGCAATGCTGAAATTTCTTCTATTTATAGTAGGAGTTCATTCTAGGGTGGTGGAAATGAGTACAGAATGGAAAAAGTGTTTGGTCGGTTACGTGTTCAGAAGGGAGTTTCCTTACCTTCTATGGATGGGGCCTGGTCCTGGGCCGCATAGAGCATCTCCTTGAAAGCCTGTGTCAAAAAAGCAGATATGGTAATGATGAGATCACAGTCTTATGGTGCAGGTCAATAGGGCAATGATGTACAGAAGTCTTACATAGCCTATTAAGGCAACTTGTCATGGCAAAGAGAGTTGACTTGGCTGGATATGTAGGCTAATTGAGGTTACTTCAAACATTGATCTAGCATGTTATAAGGGCATTGTTGTTTCTTTAAACATGAATATTAAACTCTGTGTGAAATGGTGACTTTCAGTTCTTTGGGAATATGGTTACCTACTTCTCTTAGCATGTCATTAACCTTGCAGGTAATGAAAAACATTGGACAATTATGCATAGTCTGTTTCCAGATACTTCTGGCTGTGAAAACATATAACTTTATTCCCAAAGGTCTCTGATAGATTCTTCTATAGGGCTGTCTCAGTAATTTGAATGCATTTGATTTTATGACAGCAAGGTTAATCTCAGTAATTGGTGTAGTTTTATTCATTCGAGAACAAAACTGACTTTTTTAAACTCAGGGAGGCTTTGAAGATAATGCATCATTATTAAAAAAAAGTGAAAAGCATCTTAAAACATTGATAAGTATGCTTCAAAATATGTCAAAATGTTTGCTTAAAAAGTGCAATTGCAATATTAAGGACAATTAAATCCATTTCTACCTGACCTGAAATTATAGTAATATTAAATTATAAACTCTACATGTAAATAAAAAAAAAATACATTATACATATAGACCAATTTTGTCAGGTAAATGAAAATTTGCTTGATGGACTAAATTAACTGGTTTTAGTCATGTAAAAATATCATTTGATATGTTGAAATTAATGTAATATATTTTACATAAATACAATGAGTTAATTTAGTCTATCAAGCTAATTTTTATTTAACTGACAAAACACACTTCTACAGTGGAAGATTACAGACTCACTTCTTTATATGATAAAATAAGATCTATCGGATGTAGTCAACGTAAACATTTAGCACACAGGGGATGAAACATTATCGGGCAATTTACTACACAAGCTGCTGTCAGTGCAGGGAAGTGCTCAGTCAATATATATAGCATAGATTGAAATTCATATCTAGACACAACAAAAGACAAATAACAATGAAGAACATTTATTTGCTAAGCAGACATCCTTCGTTCAAGCTAAACACCAACCAAAGCCAATTAATGTGGGGCTGTACAGATGCTGTGAACACTTCTTTTCACTATAAACAAATCTCACACTCAAAGTCAAAGCCTGGCCAGTGTGTCAACCAATGAAATAAGAGAATCGTCAAGATGGCGGCATTGCCATGGCAATGGTGTTGATGACACAAAGGCTAGATGTGCTCTATAGAGTATTCAAGTTATACAACCAAAGACTGTAACCAGGATACAATTTTGCACTATACATCTGCCTATCCTCCAGAAATATGTGTGCATGCGTCTGTGTGAGGTTTGGGTAGATCTTTGCGTCCAGCGAGCCTGACAGCAGATGTCATCCCAGTGGGTGAGGGAGCGCAAGTCCCTGTGTGTATATGTGTTTGTGCGTGTAAGTGTGTGTCAGTGCATGTGTGAACAGCAGGTCTGTGAAGTCAGCCAGCAAGGTCCATACGTCCCAGCCAGCAAGCAGACCTGCTGTTTTGAAGAAATATACTGTATGCATGCTCAAAACAAGCTATATTATATATTTGGTAAAGCAAGTATCACTAGAACTATCGTTCAGGGTTACATCGTTAGTTTTAGTGATTTATTCCTATAAACCCTTTAAATTAAAATATTTGCCCCCCAAAACCTGACTCATACTGTTGTGCTACACACATGAATTTTACCTCAAATTGGACTAATATTTTCCACCAGAGGACAATTAAACAGGTGAAATGAATCTTACAGATGTACATTAATGGAAGTAGGGGTGAGTGATATACTGGTAAACACAATTAACCAGTAGAAATTTTTTAACTGGTAGAGATTTTGGACTATTGTCTCTATCGCAGTTACACGCTCATGTGATGTTGCTGTGCTACATGGGCACAAAACGTATCATTTTGCAAGCGTTTTTAAGCATTTTGGTTTAAAAACAAGTTATTTTAAGCAGTGAAATGCAATCTGCAGCGAAAGCGAAATAACTAATTTCTCAGACGAAACCGAAATAACTCATTTCGGTTTCGTCTGAGAGGCACACACGCGCACATGAAGATGGTGCTCATAGGATGCGGGAGTATTGAATATATTTATATTTATATATATGTGTATATATGTATATATGTATATGTATGTGTATATATGTATATATACATGTGTATATGCATGTATGTATATGTGTATATATATACACACCTTGCTACGTGTACTGCGTTAGGTTAACCGAGACTTGTCATTTGCACTTATATATTGTTGCTCTTTTGTTAGTTTTTATTATCCTCATTTGTAAGTCGCTTGGGATAAAAGCGTCTGCTAAATGACTAAATGTAAATGTAAATGTAAGTGAAAGCAAACAGCTGAGAAAGAAAACACACATGTAACAGTATATTGGATCCGGGCAGCTCTTAAAGTGACAGCAGTCTAATATTCCTCCTGTCTGTCATTCATGTCAATCAAACAACAAAAGAGAAAATCTGTCATTGCTCTCGACTAAATATCTTTTGTAACTTTAGTAAGAATAATATATTTAATTTACACAGTGAAGAATATACAGTGTTTTTATACATTTGATTACTTTATACAGTGTATGTAGCATTTCTTATTTATTTGTTCTACTTTAGTTTTTTGTCCTATTGCTTGTAACTAGTTTCTTATTCTTATTTAATCTCAGACAGTTGTCTTCAGTGAGTCTTCAGTTTACTTGCATTTGTCATATTGACAATGGTGACAAGAATTATGAGATTTCAATGGTATCAAAAATGTTGATATAATAAAGACCTTATTTAAAGCAAAAATAACTATATCGTGAAATATATTGTTACCATGAAATAAAATTACTCATATCGTAATATAAGATTTTGTTCATATCGCCCACCCCTAAAAGGAAGGATCCAAGCCCCGATTAGGGATCACAAATACTTGGTTGACTTCTCATTTTGCACTCAGCAAAAGCCTAACATTTCCTAGCAATGCCCTATAGCAACTGCTTAGAACAGAGTAGCAACCACATAGCAAACCACTTAGAACACTTTAGCAACTGGATAGAATCACCAAAGTAGCAACCTCCCAGAAAACCCTAACAACCAAACCAACTAGGAAATGGGAACACTAACTAGGAACACTTAGGAAATGCATATCAACACCCTAGCAACCACCCACAACACCTTACCATTCACACAAAAGTGAACATGTGTTAAATATTCTCATATTTTCTCTGGTGGAGAGTGGTATTGCTTTTCTACAATTAAGCAGAAATGAACGAGCACATTAAAATAATCAGTATTGACATTAGATTAATCTCCTGTCCTGATGAAGTCATTTCAACTATAACATACTGCAACACATATATTATGATTGTACAATTGACAATCAGAATTATGTTCCTCTGGTGTTCAGAGGGAATGGTTGAATGCCTCCATAAACACACCGTCTTCCTCACGTTCACTTTCTCCCTTCTTAGTCAGCCTTAAAAAAAAGATACTACAGCTACTTAAAATGCACATGCCGGAGTGTTAGACCTCATTAATTTATCACTCAATAAGTTTATCAATTTATCAACTGGGAGACTAAATGTGTCATCAACCTTCTTTCACCCTTCAATTATTGCAATCTTCTTTCCACCTTAGCATGTGAATCACTCAATGTGTCATAATATTTTCAAGGTCATTTGTTGATAAGATGTTATGTAAAGTATTAAACAAAACACGTTGCATTGTTCAACGTTTTTAGGAAAGGACTAAGGAAGCTTGTCGTTTTCTTAAGAAGTTCATTTTTTATAAGCTTCCTAAAATCAGTTTATGGACTCAGTTTTATTGCGTAGAGCCTGTGGGGCTGCTTCCCATTGACTTTCTATGGCACTGTCAGCCACAGGCAGCAAAGCAATAGATGAGCAGAGACCGAGTCCATCTAGTAATCATGACTTAACTGCTCACAGAGGGACTTCAATGACCAAACAATAATAAATTCTGCTTTTCTTTGGGATACACTCCATAAGACAGAGCTGCAATGGATCATATTGTATTGAATGTAGCTGAAAAAAGATGTTCGTCTTCATCTTGCCAAGAGAAAATCAAAGCACTTATGCACAATCTATCACCGCATGTAAAGAATAGATCCAGAGAGTTCATAACGATAAGGCTGTACAGTGCTGGAAAGGATATTGCTAATCATATATCTCTGTCATGTAAACGGTGTAAATACAGCTCGCAGATCTATATAACACTCCCTGGTAGTATCAAATGACAGGTTGATCATTATGAATTAAACATTTTCCTTGAGTCCTTTGTCTTGTCCTTGACAGATCAAGCTGGAATCTCACTGCAGTCCATTCGCACATGCAAATTGGCACATGAGGCTAGTAACTGAGGTTTGACAATGAAAGTCCACCCAAAGACGACTGAGATTAATCAATCAAGCTTAGATGCAACAGATATAAAGCACCTGAGAATATCTGCAACAGATGCATCTATTTTCTATTAAGTGGTCCAATTTTAATCAATCTGCCAAACTATGTAAAAACAAAAATCTACTACCGTGATTCTTTATAGGCAATCACTGCAATTTTCTTGGATAAATGTGTTTTGTTTACAGTTTTTCCAACAGTTCATGTTTGTCTGGGTTCTGCGTCTGATTACGGATTCAGTGCTCCAGACAAAGGATTTCTCCTCCTTTGCACCAAGACGGATGCTGAAGCTCTGACCATCCACCATCACACAACAAATACCATTGATTTATTGTCTACGGGTGCAGTCAATAATTTCACAGCACAGAAACAATAAATAAACCAACATACGATTAAAATCATTCTTAAAAACATTCATTATTCAACAGTTTGAATGACCAGTCGATCATTTTTAGAGTGTAGAGGTCAATAAAAACAGCATAAGATAAAAAAAAATAATCACACATGACACTCTATATAATAGTAATAATTTCTTAACACAAGTAATTCTTAAATGTCTTAATTTTAACTGAGAAGGTTTTTCCTAATTATACTTTATTTTAAGTGGAATTACATTCTACTGAAGCAGAGGCTTGATAGTGGTGCATGTTATATTTAGTGATGGATATAGCATGAATCTCTCAGAGCTCTTCCCTTTGTTCATAATTCATAAAACAAATGGTGGTTGAAAACCTTGGAAGCCATGGACTGCAGCTGTGTTAAACCTTTCTTAAATGAAGAAAAGGGAGTGCATTTAAACCTACCTTATATAGTGGGAAATTAATATAAATATCTTTCATGATATTGTTTTAATGCTATATATTTAGAGCTATTCAAAGCTACATTGTATGCTTATAGCTTATTATATATTTAATAAGAAGAATCAGAAATCATGACTATTTTATAGAATCAGAAATCATGACTATTTGATATATTATATGCTGTTGTATCAAGCCTCATTCTAAAATTTAATTCAAAAGAAAAAAGAAAAAGATTTTACTGCAGAAATAATTTGAACTACTACACTCAGCAAATTAATTGCCGCAGACATAAAGTGGGTGAGCAGACTAATTACATCAAATGACCTTTCTGGCTTAATCCCAAAAAAGAAAAACGTAAGAAAGAATGTAGGTGAGTTTTTGTAATGTAACTTTCTGTTATACTAAAACAGAATATATAGATTTTTAAGGTGATTTCTCCTTTGTCCCAAATGTTTGACAATGCTCCAGATGCACTCATTGTGAGAGTGTCAAGAAACAAGAATAAAATCACTATGAACTGAAATATAAAAAAGGAAAATACTAATAAATACATCTAAACATAAAAATGTCTGGATGTAAAAGCTGCCAATGGTTCCCTCATTAATAAATATCAAAGAACATGAATAGACAAATGATGCATATCATATTACATGCTTCAATGGACAAATTGCAATAAACAAAATTAATGAATAAATAAATAAATAAAATTACTAACTAAATAAATAAAAAGCATTTAGCAATTTATTTTCCAGACACATTACTGTTTCACCTTAGGTCTAATACGGTTTAAAAAATATATATAGATCATTTAACTTAAGCCTTTAAACAATATTTCATAGCTTGCACAATATTTACAACTACAAACTGTTCAAATCAAATAACCCGCTTAAGTTTTGCTCATACTGGTACCTCCGAGTTGCTTCACAATCTCTGGGACGCAACTACGAACTACATGCACCAAGAAAAAAATCATAAATAAATCTCTTACCTCGTACTGAATGTATTGTTTCCTCCATTCTGGAGTAATATGGGCAGACAGGTGCTCCGCAAACTTCATGCTGGCGGAGCAGATATCCACAGTCGGACTATAATAATATCCTCGGGTCGGGCAGCGTCTTCTTTTGGGGCTTTTGTTATTTCTGTCACTAAGTTACAGAGCCGCATGGGTTGTCTAAATCCTGCCCGGTCTATCACAGTCCACTATTCCCCGGTCCCACATATTACCCCGTTCAAAGTGAAACCCGCTACAAAAAGGGACTATAAGTAACCTCCCTCTACTTCCCAAAACAGGTGCTTAAATGACAGCGCTACAGCCCCGGTGCGGGCGTCTCTGGGAAGTGACTTTCTCTCTGCGGACTCTCTGGGCGTCTGTGAAGTAGCTGTTGTCCGCCATCAGCGCGCACTGAGCGAAAGACGTATGTGCGTCACAGCGCGCCCTGGGGTGCTTTTAGAAATAGCTGTTTGTGATTAATTTTATCATGCTTTTTGTCTTAATATTTAGAAATAAAAGTACATATTACTTTTTTAGATACCTTTTTGTTATTAATGTACATTTTCTATTGATTTTTCTTTGAATTGAAAGGGTGTAAAACAATTGTTTTGTAATAAGTATAATATTGTATATAATTTGTAATATATATTATCTTACATATAATTTATTACGCCATTTATTACTAATTCGTTATTTTTACTGTGTCGTCAAATGTATGTAGCCTATCTGGTCTAGAATGATTTTTACAGGCTAGAAGGAAAAAAAAAAAATCCTATATATATGATTTTCTTTTATTTGCAAATTAATCTCGTGATAAGCCTTACTGGCCAATTCTGCGTTGGCAACTGCTCACAAGCTTTTTGTGGAAGCTCACACTCTAAAAAATTAAAAAGGGACAAACCCAGCTATTGGGTTGTTTTGGTTAAATTGGTTAAAACACCCCAATAGCTGGGTTCAAAACAACCCAACCGCTGGGTCAAAACAACCCAATAGCTGGGTTTGTCCCTTTTTAACCCAGCGCTGGGTTATATTTAACCCAGCATTTTTTAGAGTGCAGTATTGCAAAACTTATTGTTAGACATTACTAATTATTTTTATTTGTTATAACATAATGTTAATATTAATACTGCTTATGACATGATATGTAGATATAACATGCAAAAATTATATAACTTATACACATAGGCCCTATGTTTTGTCAAATGGGATGATGGCAGTGGTTTATTTCTTGGGGGAAAAAAGTGTTTTATAAGTTCAGTTGTAGCTGGCCTACTTTTCTCATAAAAAAGAACATATACTACTATCAAAGGGCAAGACAATCTTCACAAATATGTCAATATGTTTTATATGCTATTAAACAGATGGATATTAATCAGGATTAAAATGGCATTAATATTTCGAGTATACTGCAAAGCAAAATAAAGTTAAAACCAGCCATCCAGCAGTCCATCTGAGCCCTTCACTCTAGTCTATGTAGAATGTTTTCTTAAGTTGCAGTGCGTTGAGCTCTCTCGGCCACCGTATAACTGATATATTGATTGCTTGCTGACTCAAGGCCATAGAGACCTGATTTATGCCCCTTAAGAGGCCTGCATTCCTGCTTTATGTTGTTGTATTTTAGAACACCAGGGTGGCACTTATATGGGCAACACAGGGAAGTATAGATAAAAAATGTTGGACTACTACTACACTCCAAGCCAGAAATGTGCAAGGAAATGTAAGATAAAAATCTAGTTTAATCCCTCTGAGCATTTAGTCAGAAATAAGACAAAAGGGAAAGGAAATAAGAAACGGGCATAGCACGCTGATGAATAGGAATAAAATAGAAGTGGGACGCGTAATATCGAGATTCGCTCAGGAAAATGTGATTTGTGTGCCATCTTGTGGACTATGTCTGTATTGTAAAAATATGCGCAGAAATCCCTGTTAAGTGCTAAAAAAATAATATCAAGAAAAGAGCAAATAAGGTTTGTTGCAAACCATATAATGTAAATTACATTTTTGTATCTCTTCTGTGTTTAAGTTTAAATTCTTTCAAAATTTTGAAACGATGGCCAATACTTGATAGTATAGTGTAATATAGTAATACAGTATAGTAAATTATATAGTGAGAGATTGAATCACTAGAATCATATCTATGGATTTAATAGATAATACATATAAAAGTTCTAGTATGGTAGCAGTATTCCATTCCACACATCATGCGTCTACTGTAAAACTGGTAGGACCTAAAAACCGTTGGAACTGTTAGCAGCAGTCGCAGGACGCACTCGTGCCTATTATTTTGACGTACCATTCACGGACCAATTCTCAAAACAAGTCCGACTGAATCGGATTACGGATAACGTACTATAGCAATCAACTGCCTGCGCTGTTTTTATTATAAATTAATAATAATTAAGGTAAAATACTGTTGATTACCCCTATAAGGTATTTTAATTATTTTCAATGGCGTCTAGATCTCCGTCCTCCTCCCCCGACTCAGCGACGGGCTCCGGTACTGATCCAGCCCGGCCTGACACCGGAGAGCCGCTCGGTGGAGGATCCGATTCGGATTCAGATTTCGGATTAGGGAAATTTGATTGTGGTGCTGGGGATACAGCGCTTCGATTAGAAGGAGCCGATCTAGAGAATGAGTTTGAGGCGGCAGCGGACCGGGTCAGAGATCTCGTGCAGACAGTGAGTAGAGAGCAGCTGCTGTATCTGTATGCCAGGTTCAAACAGGTAATCCCAGCCTTCTTGTTATTGACATAGTTTATGATACTGTAAAATCATGATACATTCATATGAGATCACCTGCAAACACGATACGAAGCTTGGAGATTGTCTGGCATTTTACTTACTTTCGTTTATTTATTTAATAGTAGTGGCTTATATAAAGTTAGCCCAGTATATGCACCAACAATAACTGTAGTAATAGTGTTTCAATAAACATTACATGGTAAGGTTTTGTAAGGGGCATGGAGTTCTGACAGATGAAGATGCCTGTTGGTTCTGGACTCTGGAGTATAAAACATCTGGCACTGGAACCGGTTATTTGGGCATTGGACAGTAACTGTTATTAAGTTAACATTAAATATATTAGTTATTAGTTGAGATGTGGTGCTTATGTGAGTGATGCAGGTTTATGTCCAGCCAGCAATGTGTCCCCGATTTATTACCTTTTTCTCTCTCCAATAAATGTTGTCACTCTCTGCAGTCTGTGTAATAAAAGAAAATAAAAAAATAGATTAATTATAAGTAATTAATAAAGATCCACTCTGCCTATAAATAACATAAAATATCTAGATCTATTTTTAGTGTCAAGTTCAGTTTTGTTTATAGTCTAAAATATTTGACATTAGTACTGTCTAAAACATTTGACATCATTTCAGTTATTTGAACATTTGTTTTTATTAAGTAAACCATAAATATATTAATAAACGTATGTTTGTCAGGTCAAAGTTGGAAAGTGCAATACACCAAAACCTGGTTTCTTCGATTTCGAGGGTCAGAGAAAATGGTAAGTCTCTTAACAAGCCATGCATTTCTTGATAAATCTTGAATTTTGATTTGGACCTTGTATTGTTGATGGCAACATCTGATGTCTTCAAAACTCTAGTCAATTCTTGACTAGTACTATGAATATTGTTGGCTCTTATGACAAATTGCTTGTGGTTTTCCTTAACTGCACGTCTTTGGATAAAATCGACTGCTCAATAAATGAATGTAAATGTAAATTAACTTTGTGTCCAACAATATGAGCTTTTTGGGAGCAAGAGACTTTAGAGTCTTTAAAATCCAACAGAGTGCTTCCTGTTCACAGGTCTGCATGGAAACAGCTGGGGGACATGAGTGCGGACCAGGCCATGCAGGAGTATGTGTCCTGTGTACATGCCCTGGATCCAGAAGGCAGCCAGAAGGTAAGGATTAGACCTACTGTAGGGGCCATTGCAAGATGGGATGTAAAACAAGATTTTTCTTGCTCTTTTGCAGTTAAATAGTTTGATGTACAACGTGTTGATATTCACGAGTCCACAAGTTCCAGTCCACCTAGACAAATTATGGAAAACAGATCTGCATTGTATTGTTTTGGAGAGATTTTCACTTCTTAACTTGGAGATTGGCTTTTTTTTTTTTTTGCTCTCAGATGAAGCATAACATTAATTAGTATGTTTTTACAATTACACTATACGTATGTAAGTGGATCTGCCTTTTGGTAAACTATAGGCATTGTTCTGTAATATTACTGAATAACATGTCCAGAAGAGGGCAGTCTCTGATTGTGCAGTTGTGGTTGTGCATCCTTCTCAAACAACTAGTAGAAAAATATCCCATAGTTTTTACAAAGATGTTGAGAATAATACTCAAAAGATATCAGAAATAGAGTTGCTACATTTCTATGCCTTTTCTATTGGAACTGTAGATTCATGTTCATTATATACTTCCTCGGGAATTATGCAATCATGTTTAAGCAAACCTTTGTTGCTATTGCAAAGTTCCATTGAGTCATGGTGCTTATATGAATGATGCAGGTTTAAGACCAGCCTGCAATGTGTCTGCAATTTATTACAGTTTTATTCCTACAGTAAATTTCCAGATTATACAGACCATAAATTAAATAATATCCAAATATATTTTGAGTCATTTAACTCAAACCCTTTCCTTTATGTTTAATTTTATCTACCTTTACTCTTTTCCTTTCTCTTTTGCTTTTGTATTCTCTCCATTATCTATCCTCTCTCTGCCGTATTGCTTTTTACCCATAATCCCCATGTCAGAACAGACACATCCCTTTCACTGATTCTGCTGCAGGTAACACAATCTGACTGCCATCCAGACCGGCACAAAAGCACATAAACAAATTCCCCACCTTACAGAATGAACTGATTGTGTTAGTGTGTTAAAAGAGGGCAGGAAACTCCATTACGCGATGGAGATATAAAGCCGGGGAGGGAGGTTAGACAATACTCCTGTGCACTTCTGTTGTTATATGCACCTGCTGTGGAGGAACAAAAGAAAAGTGCACGAATTTATGGTATTTTAATACAAGCCTACTATTCAAGCAGAAGTGCAGATGCAGCACTTTTCTGCTCAAAACGATAATACATTAAGTCACTGAATGAAAATTGCTGTATAATAGAGCTGGCTGGCCGCACAAAGCAATATTAATCTATTCCTCAGCGGGTTTGAATACCCAGAGTCCTTTGTGCGCTGTTGCCAAATGCTGTTGTGTCTGAAAAGGGAAGAAAAGTGAATATAACAATGTCAAAAATACAAAACCTGTCTAGTACAAGTTTAGTAACATGTGCAGCGTCCTGCCAGTTTTCGGTCATGTTTTTGAAATTTGAAATCTGCTGTAAATGTACTCACCCTCAGGCCATCCAAGATGCAGATGAGTTTGTTTCTTCATCGAGAAATTTAGCATTACATCACTTGCACATCAATGCATCCAAATGG